ATAAAGTAAAAAAATACGATGAAGATAGGTGCCTCGTGATTTGACTGATCTGCAGAAAGAAACGCCTGTTGAAACTTGAGTTGCCTTGTTGAATCAGTAACGAAATGAAGGAATATTGGATGAAATTGTGACATGTGATTAAAAGTGGATTCTTTATGATAACCGTAAAAGAAAAATGCAATGGCTGACCCCAGGTCAAACGCTACAACAGCGTCCTAAAGCAAAACTTACCAATTAAAAGGTAATGGTAACTTGGTGTTTGGTGGTCTCAGCATGATATTATTCACCATAGTTGAACGAACAATGTTGGCAGTAAAACAGCCCCGACTCATGAATCTATCTTCACCATTATTGCTCCATGATAATGCGGGACCTCATACAGCACGAGAAACCGTTTTGACCCTCCAGGAACTGCAGTTAGAAACCATTCGTCATCCTCCGTATTTGCCAGACCTTCCTATTAGATGGCATAAATGTATAGATAATGATGGTAACTATTTTGATTAAATAAATTTTGTTAAAAATTAAAAAATAAACAATTTTGCTTTTCAGCACATATCAGCAATTTCATACTTTAACCCCTATTATTACAAAGAAAAATAAAAATAAAAGTTTCTTGTTGAGATTAGTTGTCTCGGTATCAACTTATGACGGATTTTGCCAATACATAGTAGTTTGTAATATTATAAACTTACTCAATACGTTTACTACTTATCATATTATATACACTAGGTCTAACATGGTTAAGAATCACTACACCTTTAGGGTACCACAATATCAGATAGAAAAAATATGCCAATTACGTAACTTTGTTTATTAGGGGAGAGTAATCTTCAAAATCACGTCACCAGACATCTTGTCGCGCAAAAAGTAGTAGCATAATTATGCAAAGCAAATTTTTTCACAAAGATTAAAATAACTATTGTTATCAGAAGAATACTTTGTGGATATTATTAACAATAGAACAAAGGTGAATGGTAAAATTTTTATTACCTTATATGGGAATCTTAAGTTTTCGTCCCAAACTATTCATCGACAAAGATTTATCACGCCAACACAAATACATCCATGTTCGCGTGCGAATCAAGCCGCTTCGCGCCCTTAAGGCCCGCTAGGGACCGACGCCATGTTTAAATTTGCAATTCAACTAGCATACCTTCCCTAACTAGAAATGTCGCCCCTTCATATTTGATAAACAAATATGAAAATGAAGAACAGGCACGCCTCACAAAACCGTTCTTGAATAATGAAACTGACATAGGATTGATCTGTCTTCCTGTCTCTCAACGCACATATTTAGATGTGAATATACATATTTTCTATGAATAATACAAAGAACCCAGCACATTAGTTCGTGTCACTTTACAAAATTAATTTTCATTATGTGTTAGTTCCTAATAGTCCAATGTCTCTTCGTCATTTCAGGAGATGTAAAAGATTGCCAATGACTCAAATTATTTATTATTAAAGTACAAGAGAATAATAATTAAGTAACTATCGAAGATCGAAGTACCCATAGCTCTGATAAATGATAAATTACGATAGTTTTATTACAGTTTTGTAGAATTACAATATATTCATCCAGATTTCTAAGATTCTGGCTGTACTGAAGACTTTTAACTGTCTGATCGGGAGAGAAGTGGCACCTTTCTTCAGAAATGATTAAATCACCAAACTGGCACATATGCATCAGAGTCTTCAATCACATCTCTCTTTGCTACTTTCTGTATTCTTACTAAACAACAAAAAGACAGAAATATATCTCAAGACGATACGACTTTGACAGACCATTTGGGATATTCAAATAAATAACTTCTTGATACAGATAAATAATAATTAAAAGATGTAAATATTTGAATAATTATCCAGCAAGATTATATGTGCGCTAATATTTTGTTTAATAATTTCATTTGCATAAAATCAAACTATATTAAATTTTGAGACAGAACCTAAAACATAACTTTGGCATTGTTTTCTGTTCTGTAGTTTTTATAATACTAGTTCCCTAGTGTGAACTTCTGATATAGGTCGTCAAAGTCCAAGACAGGCGCGAAAAAAACACGCGGTGTCATAAACGAGGTCCCGACATGATAGAAACTTGGATGTTTTCCTCAACATGATTCCTTGGCAGAAACAATAAACGTAAGGAACTTTTCCTTCTTGTGACTAACTTTATTGTATACATATTGAACGATTCCATACAATAAAAAAACATGTCGGAATCATATCTTATCAAAGTAGAAAATATTCTAGATACGAATACGTTATTGATCAACTCAGTTGAACTGAATAATTATATCACAAACATGATGTAAATAATATCCGAAAATGGCTTCACAATGAACAAAATTTTCTAGTCTTATCATTTGATGATCGCCAATCTCCGACGGGGTACGGCACTATAAGAAGAATAAGTCTTACTATTATACGTCAGTGGCCTTGTTAAAGACTAAGACTCCGTAGCATGAAAACAAGATATATGTCTTATAATTTAATACTCAACAAGCGATAGTTTTCGTCTTCGCATGGCTTTAAGTATTTCATCCATCGTATAAGCTTCCAGGAGCGATCGCTTTGGAGATCTTTGGGGAGGCCTATGCCCAGCAGTGGGGTCTCTCGGCTGAAGTGATGATGATGATGATGATAAGCTTCCAGCAGCATATTATTTTCCGATGTATTCAATTATCATACTAACTTACCAGCCACTTCACACAATCTTGAGAAATTGGTGGGCCAATCGGTGAGAGCCTAATAATCATCAGTTTAGTTGATAATAATACACAATATTTAAATGTAAAGGCGTCTATCCACATCACAAAGCTGCACGCAAACCAACGAATTTTCAGTACAAATCGGCAATTTCATGCTTTAACCCCACTACCTATCCTTCTCATTCACTAACTCACCCATTTTGAATCTACAAAGACAGTATATTATGACGATATTCGCCTTATATCAAAATTGACTTCAGAATTACTTTCTCGGCCTCTTTATTAATTAGTTTACTTTGCAGGTGATTGATGCCCTTTTAAACAATTGCAACTATTAACTACAAATAGAAAACGGAAATGATATGCAATGTTGCTATTCTACTTTTGTGCTACTTGACGCAATGGCGCAAATTGCAACGCACTAGTCGTAAAGGGGCAAATGTGGCAAATTGACGAAGGGCCGAGTGGATAGCCGTTTTGCGGCGGACGTCGTATGGAATACGAGATGAGCCACGCTCTGTAACACGAATCTGTAAAAACATCACAACTTGCTAGTATTCAGAATGGGGAATATCTAGTGAAGTTTGCATATTATTTAATATAAAAGTGGAATAATTTATGGAATTAGAAAGATTAATGAAATATACAGTAGTCTTTGTGTAACAATAATGTAGTAAAATCTAAGTTTAATAGACGCTTTACATCCATGTAATTTATACATTATGATATTATATAATTATATATGGCTAAAGATGATAATGTTTAAACATCTGATTCTAAAACATATATAGATCAGAAACAAAGGCAATCAATAAAATGTCCATTCTGTAAAATAATTCAGAATCTTTCCTTCAAATTACTTAGAAGTATCACAAAACACATTTATAATGTACTTTGAAACAACAGCTAGTTAAATATATGGCCAGCATGAAATGACGGGCCCCTAAGGACCTTTATTTTTATCTGGCAGAAAGCGTACAGAGACATCTACCTCAAGAACAACTACAACATCGATAAATAATAAAAGAGACCTATCTGTTACTGTTTTTTTATACCATATTTGAAATATTTCTTCGTCATTGTTTTATTTACAAGTTCTTACTTTTGAGCTTCAGTACTTTTTTAAGTGAATTCTCCAGTTTCATCTTTTATCATTTATTTTTATACATATTGAGCTGCTTATAGAATCGTGTAAGGAAATTGTTATAGCGTATAAGTATTCCCAAAAATAGTGATGTATTAAGCTTTACATGACTGAATCAAGGGTTGCCACCTATTAAAATGTATATGTATGTATTTTTTTCCTTGAAATGTTTTATTATACGATTTTATAGACATGTAAAAGGAAAACAATTTGAAAGACTGCCAAAACACAACCAAATGTCTATACAAACTCTTACAAAAGATCAAAGCATTCCATCTCTGTACTAATTTGGCTGCAGCGCTGCACTGTGCTGCCTCACCCATTAGCCTCGTGACGTGTAATCTCATTTCACTTCTGTTTTGCTACACAAAAAGAATCCACCGAAACTCCAGGAAGATGAAGTAATTTCAAATTACTTGTTTTCTGGGTTATGGTCTACTATATTTTTTAATATACATAATTTCATAAAATATATGTGGGAATTGGAACGGTAGGTTAGTAAGAAAGTAGAAATAATAAATATTTTAAAATAAAGTATGGATTCCTCGAATGCCTCATATATAAAATATAAATAAAAGTATCTGACGCTATAGATCTTAGGCAAGGTGAAATAAGGAGAAGGTATATGTTTTATATTTAAGACATGTTTCTCATAAGCAGGAAATGTGTGTTGAAACTTCGAGTACGCTCAAACTAAGCATTATAAGGATATTGTAATAATTTACCTCTGATACAAACAACATTTATGATTAATAATATTACAAAAAAATATCATGTATCCACTTGTAGTATTATCTTGTATGGATACTCAAAATTATTATTTAATTTTTGAGTATTGTTTCTTCGATAAATGTTTCTCGCTGTCAAAAGCGGTCTCAAAATAATAATACACCTTAACGAACCTTTGTAGTAGGTTAAGTGGAATCCAAATAGCAAAAGTACTCTAAATAATTGCCGAAAGAGAAACTGAAATATAAAATAAACAGGAAATTGATACAGTAATAACCGTGCAATCGTTCCCGGACGTTGAAAATTACCTCACTGAAATGCAAAGATAAAAGTTAATCTCTTAAAAACTGAAAGTGGCAAAGCGTACGAGAGGGTAGAACATAGGCAATTTTTCTCTCATAATCACTTTTATGATTATGCACTTCCATTCGAGGTCCTTTATTCTGGCTTTTGAATTTTCCACGTAAGCGATTATGCTAAACCATGGTTATGTGAGGTTCTGTGTGATTTATAGTCGGGATCGCCACTTAATGTTTACCCCTTGTTTTGTTTGTATAAATGTTGAGAATCTTGTTTCACTAAAGCAGTTGTTCATAAAAAACGGTTTTGCTATGTACACCAATGTTACTTAGTAACTTATGCCGGTTTTTAATAAACTTAAAATTCGATACAAATTTGATACCTAAATATTGTCAAAGGTTAAAAGAAAATACATTTCACCAATGATAAGGAGTCTCCTAACGACTTTATACAACACTTAAAGTTACACATGCATTGTGCTGCGCCTAGTGCTGGGCATTTACTTAATGTGACATATACATTTACTCTTTGACAATAACGGATGTGACGAGGGATAAAAATAATTTAGTAAGTTGGAATCAAGGAGTTTATATATTAGTATTCAGATATTAATATTTTTTTTTAATTTATGACTTTTTATAAATGGATAATAACGAATACAAGACCACGTATATTTTATCTTGTTTTATTACTTCAAAATATATATTTTGTTGTCTCTTTACGTGTAAAGACCAGTAACATGACATTGGCGGAATTGTGTAAGCGCAAATATGCCATACATTATAAAAAAAAGAAAAGGAACTGAAGCATGTAAAATCACAGAAAAACGTTGCTTAACTAAGAAAGTGTTTAGTAAGCATTAACTAACACAGCAGGTTTACTGAAACGACATATCTGCTTCAGCTATTCTTAATATTAAGTAATTTCTAATTAAGCTATGTTTGTTCTACGTTAGTAAAAACGGGTATAAATCTTTTGTCTCTGATGGTATCACCGATTTAATTATACTTTATTTTTAAATAGCACTAGATCTGTCACAAAAGATATTGGTCTTAACTAGCAAGATTCTGTTTCAAATAAATTATCGATAAGAAGAACTTGAGACTATTTTATTGACTATCATAACAAAGAATTTATTTTAACAAAATTTCTAGCGAAGTCGTTGATCAACGACTAGTACTGTATATGAACCTTTGTATTCTTTTAAAATATGCTTGCATAATACCAAGATGATAATGAATACCTAAACCTACTTTTACCTAGAATTATTTATATTAAACACAATTTCAAAAAGTCTAATGTGGGCGTTAAATAGCAATTAACCTTTTAAAATAAGCACTTTAATATGTAAACCAGAGTAACGGTATACATATAATTAATATGTCCAATTTTCATTCCACTCTTTAGTATTTTATCTAAAATGTACAAAGACTAGCTAAAATCAATGATAATATTTCGAAAGTTCTTGTTCGAACGCAAAGGGATTTCATTATACCAATTTTACCTTAAAAGGTTTACACAGTGAAGAGTCGTAGCTTATTAGCTCATTAACTTTAAGTCTTCAAACACTTAATGTTATTTTTCAAAGTTGTTTCTCTAGTGAAATAACAAAAGTACATCGTTTCTCTAGTAAGAGGTTTACCTTTTACAAAGTATAGTTTCAATGAGGCCTCAGTTATAACATTGATTTCAATCAGTAAAGAATTTTCTTCAAATATTGATATGAGGTGTATCATATAAAGTAAGATACGTGTCGTTTTCATGGAGACAACTTTACGAATAACGATTTGTATTTTAGGAAATAATTCAAAAATCAAAAACCTGACTGCCAAAAATGATATAGTTTGATAGATTACGTATACAATACTGTAATTGCAGTTAGGGGACCATTCTCCGACATGATCTAAAACACCCTCCGACTGTATTTTTTACAGTTGATCGGTGCTCTATTATTCGCTATTTATAAGTTCATTCATATCTACAAACATTACTCTATGCACGCTGTCTGTGATATAGCCAAAGACAACATACAGACTTTAACCCCGCGCAGACAAATCGGGCACGATCCGTGTTTGTAGCGTCTGTGCATGTGTATTGGCGTCGGCACGTACCTGTGCGATCCTAAAGATATAAATAGTTTTATAGACATTTTATTTTATGTAAAGACATATAAACGAACCTACAAACTCCATTTGATAGTCCGTACAAGGGTTCATTTGTTTCAGTTGTGTAAATAACTGATTTCTAATAAGTTTTATTCTTAAGTCTCAAAAAAACTTTGTTGGTTCAATTCTGTCATTCCTATTTTAAGTTTTTACCATTAAGCTTACTTCGATTTTCAAATTTTAAATAGGTTTAGTCAATAAAAAACTTACGTTCATTTCTGGCATATAAAAGTCTGAATAGGTCCTCCTCAACTTCGTTGCGCTCGGTCTACTCTATGTCACAGTTTCAATGCTTATATCAGTATGGCCATCAATAAACTTCCGTATCGAACTCCACTTCGCTTCATTCGCGTCAATCATCAATAGGCTATTTTCATGTGTGACAGTTCATATCGTGAAATATAACTCGTGAAATGTGAACAGTGCATGTTGTGTCTACCCTGTTACAGACTTTGTATGGCCTCGGCGGGCGGTGACGTGTGGTTTGCGGCGATCGTCCACCCCGATACGCGCCTGCGGCTGACAAATATTTTTGTCCGTTTTAAAATCGCTCCGCTAGAGAAGTTTCTGTTTATTCTGCCTCGGCAGGACGCTTATCCGATCAGAACGAAAACAGTTTTGGTCACAAAAATGTTTCGGAGTTAAGAAATCTGTCCCGCTCCGCAAAAAAGTCCGGGAGCAAAAGTCTGAACAGTCGTGTACAATTGTTTAATCTACCTATTTTTCTAGTACTATCGAGTTTTAACGTTTCTCGCTTTACAAGTTCTTAGCGATCTCAGACTTTTGTCTTATTTGCCGCTTCGGCTGTACTTTATCTATTTATTTTTGCAAACAAAACATGAATTTAGTAGACACGTTAATGAAAAAAAAACGTGCTTTGCTAACGTATTTAATATGTTTTGTAAGATGTCTTTTCACCAATCGAGGACTTTTTTATTTTAGTAAAGATTTTCTAAATAGCAAGTATTTTATTTTAATGACATAACTACCTACATCTGCCATCACAAAAGGTAAATCAAACTTTCTTACCGTTTCACCATCGAACTCTTCTCTATTTTTTTAAGTAAAGTGCAGTCTTACAAACATAACCTGGAGTCCTTGAATGAAGTTAAATATAATTTTCTTTAAACTACGTTTACCGAACTCTAGACCTCGCTAACCATTGCTCCGAAGAACTCTTCTCTTTATTTTTCTTATAAATTATTTCAATATATCACACACTATTTAAATATATTCGTAACCGTAATAAATTAAGCGTCGGGAAAATAAATATAGATCGCTGTGAAATAAAAACACGAACATGCATTGAATTTAATATGTTTACACAAAAGAATATAAATGTGTACATTAAGTCTTTATCGACGTTTATTATAAGCTATTTGCTTATTTCAATATTGAATGAAACATCAACATTTGTTACTGTCATGATAATGGTGAATCGTTAATCTCCATTAATTTCTGTTTATAGTCTAAATCATGTCTTTATACGTATAATGTACTTACATGTAATGTACACAAAATTCTAGTGTATACAACATAAAAACAGGCAATTCTTAAAAATATCTATAAGTAGAATTCGATGTTATTCATGGTCCAGTTCTCAGAGTGTAAAAGATGTTGATGATTAAGTCACTAAAATACTAATACGTTTATTAAACTTACAAGTTTTAACAATTTATGTGGTGGTTTCTCTATTAAATACAAAGTACCTATGTCAGGGAGCCACTCTTCCATGTCTTAATAAAATAAATAACAATACGATTGTAAAATATTTTCAGTTTCTTTATAGTCTAAACACTTCTATAACACTTCGATATATTTTGGGGTCTTGAATGAATGAATAATTAAATACTTTTATAGTACACCATATTTAAATAAAAGGACAATCGATACAATATAGTGGTACAATCAGCGGCTTTATCGCTAAAAAGTGAAATTTCTTCCAGACAACCGCAGGGTAGATTGGACTATTACTTAAGTAAATGGGCAGAAGATGGTGTTTTACATGGCGAGAAACATGTTTTCATATATAACAATACATACATACATACATATCCTCCTTAACCATCCATAAGGAAGGCCTGAGCCCCTGCAGTGGGGACGTAAAAGGGCTGATGATGATGATGATGATACATACATATATAGATATATCCTCATACATAAATATATATACAACCGTAAAATATACAATAATAAATATAACAGTACCTAAAGAAAGTATACATATAGAACAGAAATAGAATGATAATAATTTTATTGTAAATGTTTAAGGATAAATTCATGAATTGATATAGCGCAAAGCTAAGTATGAATATATGCTAATAACAATTTCTAATATGTAAAATTTTCTTACTGTAAGCAGATTTGCAACTAAATATAAAGACCGAGTTGAAAATCCCCTTTTTTGAATAACATTAAGTACATTCAACCTTTACAAAATTTGTTTTAAGTGCTCCTTCCCAGAGGGTAACGCAGTACATTACTCGTATAATTAACTGTGCTAATACCATATATATTTCATTTATTAGCCTTTTATTTACGATATGTAAGAAAGTAAGATAGCTTGTAAGATGAAGAATACGGTCTAAGTGGAATCACGTGGTAGATCGACGACATCTAGAAACCATCCATAATCCTACATACTCACAGAACACCCTTCCAAATCGGTTGGATCCATAGCTCTTCTCTAAAAGGCACTAAAAGTCAGTGTTAGCTGTATCTGCAACTTGTCACTGATCCAAGCGACCCGCTCTTTCTATGTACTATGTCCCAACACTGTGAGAACTTTAATTTATTTAATAATAGCATTTCTGCGTTCTTTGTTGCAGCTTCGACGTTCGCGGTAAACATCTATCGGAGGCGCGGCATTGGTCTGCTCCTGAAGTATTTGGTCCACGAGCACAATTCACCACCTCCCCACCACCAGCGTCTTTAGTCGTGCGCGACGTGAAGCGTCGAGACGAAGGCGTATACAGATGCCGTGTAGATTTCCGTAACACTCAAACTACCAGCTTCAGATATAACCTTACCGTAGTAGGTAAGTGGCATAAGTTTTTGCAACATATTACTACGCTTATATTGGAAAGGTCACCCAGATGTTTAGATTACTTCGAGTCCCATTTAACGATGGATTTTTTTAGCATTTTTCATTAAGAATATAATAAAATTGATAAAATATAGTTATTTAGACTATTGGTAAGATAAATGTTTGAAAAATATTTGGATTAAGATTCACAGCTCGCCACCAATAAATACTGTCACATAAACTTGAGCAAAATAAAATTCATTTCCTCAGTTGATTCTTACGACTGCTGCAGGATGACAACTACTTAATATATTTAAAATTTTTATCAAGCTTGCAGTTTGGAATGGATTTCTTAGAAGTTGTATGTTTATTTAAATACTAAGACTTTTATATATTTTTAAATCAATTTTGTTATTATTTATTTAAAACGGTAATCAATTTTCATTCACTCAAAAATCCTCCAACCCCAGGTAATCCGTGATCGAACCCACGACCTTTCGTGATCCGAGCGACTGTTCTAACCACTGGACTAACAGGACCTAACAGGACTGAATTTTCGCTAATAATGAAAATTCAGTCCTGTTAGTATTTTTCATTTATTTACTTATGAATGGTACACATTGCTGATTGTAAAACGTTAGATTTTTCTAAGATCAGTGTACATAGATCCTAAAATACTTATTGGTATATGGTTAATCTAAATATGGAGGGGTAATCAGGTTTTATCGATATTGAAAATATCGACAGTTCCATCAATAAGATTTTCATCAATGTTCCGGCAATCGACCCAAAGAAATATTTTCATAAATATTTTTAACTATCTATTCAGATAAAAATTTGTTCTTATTATTTATATTTGATCAAATTTGCATTTAGCATTTACTGTTGGATTTTTAAACATTTTCCATTAAGAGTAATGAAGTGATTTTGGAGCGGAGACGTTTTTTTACTTTTCCCACTTGGAGACTGGACTTACATATATACATCAGATAATTGTTTAATTATTTTATTTTTCTTTTTTACTTCACTTCGACATTGACGCGACAAAATAACATGCAGGTATATTCACTATTTCAGTCGGTTTAATCACTAGATAGCTCCTACACTCTCGTTTAACATCATAACATGTGTGAGGAGATATTAATAGGTAGATAATGGAAACGGATGATGGTATTATTGTGAAGGTACTACATATAGTGTTACCAACAGTATATCTATAATCCACTAGTTTTGACAAAATAGTAGCCTAGTTAGTAACGAAAAAAATATATGAAACAGAGTAAATTGGAAAAACAAAAGCAAGAAGCGTAACGAGCACAGTTATTTTTTGACAAAATTTAAAACGAAAACTCTAAGCAGTATAAAACCCGGCGCAGACAGGCTGGATTTATCTCCTTCCATACCAATTATTCGTGCATTTCCGTTCACGTGTTCATTACGTAGGCTTAATTGTTAGCCAACGTCGCCAAGCAGAGGCTGTGCTGTGGCAGATATACGGCGCGTAGGTGCGGGGCTCTCTCTGACTTATAGCTAGACTTATAGACTCGCCCGCCAGCTTTATTGCTTCAAGTATTTCGAATTCGCAAATAGTTTCCGTTGAAACTTCTGCAAACGTAGGTAGATAGTGACTGGTTCTTTCAAACATGAGCAATTATTTTATTTTATTTTTAATTGCTATTTATGCAAAGATTATTTACCACATGTGACTCTAGTAGCAAAAGCAACATATTCTTAAACTTACATATTGATTCTATTACCTGGAATGATTTTTCATTCATTGTTTTGACCGTTAAAATTTCTGATTGTATTTAAAATGCATGTCTATTCAAACAATGGTGAATTTCGTGAGCGTACAACAAACCGCCTGCGCTTGTGAGCGATGAAGCGTCTAAGTTACGACCACACTTATAGGCTTCCTTGAAAGGTTTATAGCCTTCTCAAGAGTGTATATTGCACTATTGCTACAACGTAAACATACTAATGTACCGCAGAATTAAATACCTATTAACTGTTCCCTTGTAGACAGCATCAACAATGATGGAATTTAGATTAGAGTTAACGACAACTTTAATAGCGTTTTAAGATTTTTATTTTTTGTTTATTCTTATTTGTATGAACCAATATCTTAGTGCTTATTCTTGTATATGTCTTCATTATGATATAAGATTAGAACTTTCTCGTTGCAATTCTTTATTTCAGTATTATAAAAGTTACGCAGATATAATTTTTGAGAAACAAAAGAACACTACAGCTAATTATTTATATATTTTTTAAAGTGTCTTTTAGCAATCTTTTCGACAGCGTTAGTTTTACTTTGAACACATAATAACATCGATAACGAAATTTATCTACTGTGTTTAATTTCTCAGCGAACAATCCCTTATTATAGCTTACCGCGTCCAATTCCATTGCAATAGATCATTTCACTGTTGATGGATGGTCTTATAAACTAATTGCTGGATACTTCCCCACGATGCTTTATTCAAGAGATTGTAAATGGCCCCAATTGGGAGTTGTGGTGATTCATCTTTGATAGTGTCACCTTTAGTTCCTCCTAAATCAATCTTATAAATAGATATAATCACTTTCTTATCCCATGGAGGTTTAATAGAGCATTAACACATATACATCAAAGTCCCATTTGATAACTTTTCATGCTTTTTATAGATTTACAATGAACTTCACAGTTTTCATTGCCGCGATTGTTTTTGTTGAAATTTGAAGTAAAGTAACTGGTATAGATGAGTAATTTATAAATTAAGCGTAATTTAGGAATTACTGTGGGATTAATGAAAATAAAAATATCAATGGAAAATAAATTGCTGTACCTGTTACCACTATACAAAATTTACATATCACGTTAATGATTCGAGTAATAAATTCACTTAAATTCTTATTTATTTCAATAAACAACTCCCAGGTGCGACTGTATACCTAGACTGAATAAGTAAAAAAATTGAACACCACTCATATGAGCCTGAACCAAAATCAGGAACTAAAAGAATTATTAAAAACATATGGGCACCAAACAGATTTACTGGAACAAAAAACTAATTTTATTGAAAAAAAAATAGAAGGACATTATACTTATGGCCTAAATAATTTAACAACAAGAGGAGATCAAGATTTGTATACCTTTTCGTTTCTGCTAAGCACATATGACTTTTTCATGTTATATTATTCTGAAAGGAAGGGATTGATACAAGCAATATCGATCTTCAAGTTTTGGGAATGCCCAATCAATTTTTAATACAGTATCTTTGGAAACATTATGTATTCATTTGAGCTGGATAATTGAATCGATTATGAATTTAATTAGGGCATTCCGTGTCATGCGTAGCGGTAATGCGGTTTCAGCAGCTGTTGTCGGGACTTTGTTAGAAACGTTATAATTTGAAATTTGTTGCACAACAATAAATATGTAATAGCAATAGAAATATTGTTAGTTCTTTAAATCCACTTAAATTTAATTGGCCTATAGATATTACTGCGCCAGTTCGTCGTGAGCACTCGTCTAGTTAGCACGCGTATCACCGTTTCTGTGTCTTCAATATATCGACAACATTTTTACCGGTTATAGATAATCATAACTTGTGTCACGGAAATGAAGTGCGCGGTCTGTGATTCGGTTTTTGATGATGGAGTTCAGTGTGGAGTATGTAAAAAATACTTGGACTTCGGCTGTGCCAATATATCCGAGACTGGGTATAAAAAGCTGGGAGCTGATCGGAGAGCAGCCTGGAAGTGTCCACAATGCAAGCAATCAAGACTGTCTCCAGCTCCATCTAATGACTCCTCTATCCTTGAAAACATACTCAGAGAACTGCGTGATGTGAAGAATCAACTAGCCAAGTTGTCTACCCTCGTAGATGAAGTCAAGTGTATCAAACAGGAGCTTTCCGGACTTAAAGAGTCTTGCGAATTCAACGGCGACCAATTGGACAAGCAAGCGGTTAGAATTTCGAATTTGGAACAGAAGATACCCGACATGCAAAAAGTTGAATCTTCCATTGAGGCGACCACAATTGACATTAACGCCCTTAAAAAAGGTTTAGCACTTAGAGATCAGTGGACACGTCTGAACAATATTGAGGTGAAGGGTGTACCAGTTAAAACCAATGAAAATCTATATTCTATAGTTGAATCGTTGACTAAAGTAGTGGGCTTCAGTTTCCCTAAGTCCCAAATAAATTACATTGCCAGGGTGCCAATACAAAATTCCAAAGAGAAATACATAGTTATAAATTTTGTGAACCGCTATATTAAGGAAGAGTTCATAGCTGCAGCACGGGCTATGAAACATATAACTTCTGCCGATATTGGATTTGCAGGCAACTCACAGCGTATTTTTATTAACGACCATCTTACTCCCGAGTTTAAAAATCTTCTCACAAAAACCAAGTTGGCTGCCAAAGAAAAAAGCTACAATTATGTGTGGGTCAAGTATTGTAAAATTCATGTGCGAAAAAGTGACACTACACGTATTTTCATCGTATCTAGTGAGACTGATTTAAACAAGATGGTTTAAGTTATTTTATATTCGATTCAGAATATTTACAGTTGCTGTTAATTTGTTACGCTTTATTTCTATTAGAAAATGTTAATTTGCTTTTTTTTATTTTTATTTGCTTAATCACGTACATTAGCTGGCTAACTATGCACAAAATGTTTGTAACCGCTCGCTTAGCTATTGTGATGACGCTTCGCTATTGTTCCGGACGACCAGTCCAAAACCGGTCTGTCCACTTTATGCGCTCGCTCCTTTTCTATTCACTACTTGCTATTACAATGAATTGGCTATCTGCTAGTGTCCTTGAACGCCTTGTTTGCCTGTTATGTTATTGCTCGATTTATTATTTCTGTAACTTTCACTTTTTATTGATACTTCGCGGGGAGCTGTTAGCATTCATTTTTTATTATCTATGGTGCTTATGTCGTTTTTTATTTCTTACTAGTGTAGGAAATAACATGAAACTGTGGGCGATCATTTTTGCTATATTTGATGGTTTATTTGTAGTGAAATCGGTGTTTTGTTGCATTCTTATCTACGGCTACGAAATGTTATTGACTCGCCACAACTTGCAAGTACGGATACTGATAAGGAATTTTGTGTATGTGCGCCGTATATTTATATATAACCTAAATTTTTTGCAGCCGAACTATTATTCACCGATTATATATTTTGAAATCACTGGTTTAATGTTTATTAATTATGTATTTAGAATCTGCAATCCGGCTGTTTTATTTATGTTGTTATTATTTCCTTTTTATTTCCTCTTTCTATTCAAATGGCTAATTTATTTGCGTCGCCTATTTAAATACAGCTTATACATTTTAAATTCAATTAAGTACTTATTGATCATGAATTCTCGAATTATTATTTTATTGCGTTTTAATTATAATTTAAGGGGATATGATTCTACCGTTTTATTAACTATATTTTTATCCTGTTTTTATTTTTTTTTTCATACTTAATAAATGGCTAATTTAAATAATTACCTTAAAGGATACTACCAGAACGCTAGGGGTTTACGCACCAAATCAACGATATTTTTTCGTAATTTATGTAGCGGTGATTACGACATCGTTATTATTACTGAGACCTGGCTATTGGAAGGTATTAAGGATACGGAGCTTTTCGATAATAGATATGTTGTCTTTAGACGGGATCGAAACTATGCTGTAACTGGTCAATTATATGGAGGGGGTGTACTTATAGCTGTGCACAGGGATATGATAGTTATGTCTCAACCTGGGTTTCACTCTAGTGCCGAGGATTTGTGGTTAACATTAACTCTAAAACTACGTGGTACTCAGCGACCTTTGAAATTACATATTTGTGCGCTTTATTTGTGTAACGAAAATGGAGGCTTTACCTTTACCCAACAATTGTCAAACTTTCTTGATAGCTTAAATGATGTAGTCATGAGATACCCATATGATAAATATTTGATAGCAGGAGACTTTAATTTGAGTAACATAGATTGGGTAAGGAATGGTGTTGATGGTTCTCACTGTGATCCTTCAAACTTTAATACTAGTGATGAGATTTCACTTGTCGACGAGATTAATACTCTTGGTTTAAGACAATACAATAGTATTAAAAATACTTATGGGAGGACTCTAGACCTTATATTGTCTAATGACAATGTCCTGGTAACGGATTGCAGTGACGATCCGCTGGTGCCGATCGATATACACCATGGAGCTTTGTCCTTCGATTTAGATTTTGCGGATTTTGTGCCTTTAAATGATGCACCTCGCACTAGGTATCTTTTTAATAAAGGCGACTATAATGCTATCAACTCAGAAATTACAAAAATAGACTGGCATCATGAATTAATATCTAAACCCCTCGAAGCAGCAGTAGAGTATTTCTACAATAAATTTATTACATTAAGAGACCAATATATACCTCGCCAAACTATTACTACTAACAAATACCCCAAATGGTACTCGCCGGCTTTGAAAAGATCAATTAGGGAAAAGTACAAATACTTGAAGAAATTCAAAATATATGGTAACCGTACCGATGAACAATCTTATAAAACTCTAAGGGATCGATGTAAAACATTAGAAAAACTGTGCTATAGTGATTATATAAACACAGTTGAAAATTCGCTAAAGGATAACCCAAAAACTTTTTGGTCGTTTATTAAATCCAAGACTAATATTAATGACTTACCCAATAACTTGAACTACGGTGATACTGTACTTAATAGTGGACAATCGATATGCAACGCTTTTTCTGAGTTTTTCTACTCTAACTTTTTGCAGTCTCCAACTTCTCTAAACAATTTAAGTTTGGCCTCTTCTCTTCCTACTACTATTACAAATATTAATAAAATTATGATTAACATTGACGAACTGACCAGGCTGCTTTCGAAGCTAGACCCGGCAAAGTCTGCTGGACCAGACTTGCTGCCAGCTATCTTCCTCATAAATTGCGCTAAAACCATTGCTATTCCAATTGCTATTCTTTTCAATAGATCTCTGACGGAGGGCATTGTTCCAAGTGTATGGAAGCAAGCATATATTACACCAGTGCATAAAAAAGGATCTAGATCAGATATTACTAACTACCGTCCCATCTCTAAGCTTTGTATTGTATCCAAGGTACTGGAAAAAGTTATTTACGAGCAGCTTTATTCTGCATTGAAGCAATCGTTTAGCCCAACACAACATGGTTTCCTTAGAGGCCGCTCTGTTGTGTCTAATTTGGTCTTGCTCAATGAGTCCCTTACTATTGCTATGGATAATGGCTTTCAGGTCGACGTAATCTACACTGATTACAGTAAGGCATTCGACCGAATTCGGCATGACATGCTTTTACACAAACTGTTAATGATTGGTGTGGGTGGCGATTTGTTGCGATGGCTATCATCATACATTAATAATCGCTCACAGGCGGTCGTGGTGAAAAATTATATTTCTGGTTGGCTTACGGTTCCCAGTGGAGTTCCTCAGGGCTCCTTACTTGCGCCACTCCTGTTTGCTGTGTTCGTAAATGATATTGCGAGGTGTTTTCAATTTTCACAACTATTATGTTTTGCGGATGATATGAAAATATTTGCGCCTATTTCGTCGTTAGAAGACGCGCTTTCACTGCAAAATGATCTTGTGAGACTTGACAACTACTGTTCAAGTAATTGTTTAGACTTAAATGCAGCCAAATGTAATGTTGTCACGTATAGTCGGAAGCGTAATCTGATTTTGTTTGATTATGTGGTGAGAAATTCAAGGCTGAAACGAGATACGGTTGTGAGAGATCTTGGCGTGTTTCATGACCATAAGTTGCTTTTCGATGCCCATATCGATAACATCATCTCAAAGGCCTCCAGAGCTCTTGGATTTGTTATGCGTAACTCCAAAGACTTCACACAGACTAAGACTCTAAAAATTCTTTATTGCACATTCGTCCGAAGTCACCTGGAGTGCGCGTCGCAGATCTGGAACCCTGGATACCAGACATATATATTGCGGATCGAGAAAATTCAAATGAGATTCATTAAGTACCTCTGCTTCCGCACCAAACATCGCTATGACTCAGGCCGCTACGAGGAACTTTGCAGGATGCATCACTTTCTCCCTTTAGTGAATCGGCGAGAAATTGCAGATTTGGTTTTTCTTGCAAAAATTGCTAGTGGTGCTGTGGATTGTTCTGAACTCTTGTCAAAGATTACTCTTAGAGCCCCACAAAAACAACTCAGGTTTAACCCCCTGTTATATCTACCCCCTGCGTCTTCAAACTTTCGGCAGAATTCATTCATTTGGCGAGCGTGTAATGGATTCAACGAACTAACAAAGCGAGTAGATATTGACCTTTTTAACACTAGCGAGGCGTCGATTAAGCGTGTTGTTGGTAACTTATTCTTTTTAAATAACTAATTTTTCTGATTAGGATATAGGTATATGTGTCATTATCATTATACTTTATATATGTATTTATTATTAATATATTACTCCGTAAGCAGCGTACTTATTGTAACATTACTGTAAGTGTAAGCGATGCATGTTTTATGTATGTAAGTATATATATGTATGTATATATATTTCTTACTTTTATGCCAAATCTATAAGCGAAGACCTGTAATTGGCTATCTGTTTTTGGAATGAAATTTTAATTTGTATTGTTAGCTGTTGGTCATCCAAGAGAGTAAATAAATAAATAAATAAATAAATAAATATAAATATAGTAATTATGTTAAATTTATTCCACAAAACAAATAAAAACCGCATTGAAATAGCAGTAGCCTCAATGCTACTCTCGCATTCTAGATAAATCGTCCATCTCAAAATGAACTTGATCACATATATCTAACAAACAAATAAGGATTTTTCTTCGTTTTTGTCCGGATGTCATTAGTTTAAGTGCTCTGAAATTAGAAATAATCAAGATATAATATGGTAATAAAACGGGCATATGCCAAAAACTAAATACACCAAACCAAAATCGTCCTCTCAATTCATCAGGACGTTCGTGGGCGTCACAGCTAATGGCTCTCGCTTTTATTGCCCCCTAATGTGGAGTTGCGATGATGCATGTTCCAATTTCTCGGAAGTTAACTCACGAAGCTTCACCAAATAGCACCATTTTTTCCGAAACTCGTGTAAGGAAATAACATGGAATTTTCAGTACTGAAACAACAAAGAGCAAAATGGAAATCTTTGATATTTCATATTACACGTGTAATCTATGTGGGAAATAGAACATAAGACGGTGTATGAAAGAGAGGCAAGGTATGTGAGAATGAAAGAAAAGATAGCGATTTTTGAGGAAAAGAAGAGCGTGTGCGGTTCATGTACCAGTATTACACATTCTGTAAAAATAATAAAAATAAAG